TCACAAAGGTTTTATAGTGATTGGGAGTGTTTCATGGAGTTTGGGAAGCATGGATATGCTAGTTGAACCGTTTGGACAGATTATGGATTGTCGGGCTGAGCAACTCGTGTGGGTCCCACGCCGAAATTTTTGAATTTTGAATTATTTTCTTAATTGAAAAATAATTATCTTGGATGTCATTTGTTTTATTCATGAGGGTGGAATGGTCATTTGAAGTTATAATGGCATTTTAGTGGTTAAGTGAAGAAGTGGGGGGCGTTTTGGTTATTTCCTTGGTCCACCTTTTGACCCTTTGTGAGTTTGACACTTAAGTATGCACTTGGCAAGTTTCTAGCCACAATTTGCATGACTCCTCATGTAAAAGAGAGCTTCAGCTGATGGGTTCCTCATGTTAATTCGATTTTCTTCTTCCTTTAACCAATTTCGTCTTCCATTAGATGGGTTTTTGAAACACCATTTAGAGAGACTTGTAGTGAGAGTTTGATGTTGAGGTGTGAATGAAAAATGACCAAGAGGAAATGAGGTTTCCATTGATATAGTATATGTGGTCATTCCTTAATCCATGGGTTTCAGAAAGTTCCTTGAAAAGAGGAGGATCTTAGTTGTGCTTCAATGGAGAGTTCTTCATCTTCATCATCTTGTTGGTGGGTTCGATCTATCCTTGGGATAGCTTAGAGGTGTTTGTTCCTAGGGTTTGAACTCCCTTGAGGTAGGATTGTCTAACCCTCAATTCCTTTGCCTTTAGTAAGTTAATCTCTTTCAATTTTGAGTTGTAAAGTGTATGCAAACAAAACTGAAATTCTGTGCTGCTGAAACTGTTTGGCTGAAATTACATGCTACTATTTTGCTCAAATTCATGTAAATTCGTAATTTATCTTTTAGAGATGATTTGATATTATGATAATATAGTTAATTAGCTTTCATTGAGAATTGGTTTCATTTAAATATGTTGAGAAATGAATTTATTACGAAATTTTGAAGTTATAGTGTTCTTGCTGGAAATTCAGGGTTGGGGTAGATTTTTTTCGAGTTTTTCTCATCAAACCTGATTTAAATGGTAAGGGATTTTGGTGAAGTAAGATTTTATCTTGAAAATATAGTCTTTAAACTTTCAATGGGCTTTGGATTCACTCAATTTGGATGAGAATTGAATTTTTTTTTATTATTTTTCAAAGTTGGAAGCAACAGGCTGGAAATCAGTTTTCTAGGTAGTATTTATTTCGAATTTATGGGTTAAAACTGTTCCAATTGGGAAGGGGTTTTGTTAAACTATATTGATACTTTCAAATTACCGTGTTTAAGCTTTTATTAGGCTTTGGAATCACTCAATTTGACGTAGAATTGAAATTATTATGAATTTTTAAAGATGGAGATAACAAACTGCGAAGAATTGTTAACAACTAGTAGGAGTTGTTTTAACCCTCACACCCTTTATTTCCTTGTGAACTAAATCTTTTAAATTGAACCATTATATGACTTGAATTAGGCTTTCTTTACGAGCATGTTGTGTAATAAAAATTTAAAATTTTGTAACTTAGACAGAAATGATGTGTATGTGTTTTAAATATGGAATTTGAGCTCTTAAAATGTTGTTGGTGTTTATATGCCTAAAACTGAAATTCTAGTAATCACAATGGTTGTATTGTTATTGTTTGACAAGTTAGAAATTATATATTCAGTTCACTTCAATTATGGGCTGTTTTGTTATAAGTTTGGTGTTGTATTAATGTTCAAAAACTGAATGATATATTGTCCTTGAAACATGCTGCTATGATAAATTTGCTGCCAAAGTGTGTCATAGAATATGATTTTGATGTGAGTAATGATGTGATATTATAATATTGTGAAGCATGTAACATTCATGCTTATCATTGGGAAAGAATGAGAAAAATTGATTTGAAAGAAATGATATGGATTTTTGGGAATGAATTTTGAAAAGGATTTTGTGAAAACTCAGCCGCCTAGGAGTTGCCTAGGACTGCGGCGTTAGTGAGGCCTAGAGGGGACTAGGGAAATCGCCCTAGTGTGGTTGTGTTACCTGGGGCCCCAAATGACGCCATGGAGTTGCCATGGGTCAAGGATAGTGGCTAATCCTCCTCTCGTGCCGCCATGGAGTTGCCATGGGACGGGTTCACTAACGGTTTGGAAATGATGATGGAAATGGTTTTGGAAAAATGGGGAGAGACATCGCATGACATTACAACCATTGCATGGCATATCCATTCATGACTTGGTTTATAAATGTGATATTGTGGTTATTTTTCTCCCGGCATAGCATAGTACCGGCTAAGATATTGATCAGAAAGAATATGGTAATTATGGAGTAATAGAGATGGATATTCTTAGTTTATGTTTATAATTAGACATGAGTGGTTATCCTTTTGTCTAGATACAGTAAATCATTAATACTAAAAGGTACCTTAGGTATTAATAAAGGGATTTTTTTTCGTTACAGGGGCATACCTTTAGACTGATGGTTGTGATAATGAGAAATGTGATTCTTTGTATAGAAAGTTGTAATAAGGGAAATGGTTTAGACTCTGTGTATATGGTACTTCATATTCTTCTGTGTTGACTGTTTTGTGAGACAACATGATGATGTGATGATTATTTTTGCCCAGATTTGCATGACTCCTTTTTTGATTCCTATTCTTTGTTTGGATTCATGGGGGTATGAAGGAATGGTGGTTAGGCATTTCCTGCTGAACTGTGGTTGCTCATTCCTATTATATATACATTTTTTCAGGTTATGGACAAGAGGTCGTAGAGGGCATTCCTCCACAGCCATGGATGGATGTTGGGTTCTATTTGGTTATATATCTTTGTATAAATGGGAAATGTATATTTTGAGACCAACATGTATATTTATAAATATTCTTCCAAATAGATTTTGTTTAATTATTGTAATTAAAGGATTATAGGGTTTTATGTATGAAACCTACTTTTATATTTTCAAATAATGTGTGGACAGGGAAATGGATTTTGTGTGTGTGTGTTGGGACAAAGTACTTTATTTAACATGACTTTTGAAACCAAGCAATTTTTTTTTATTATCAGCCTTGAATATTAAAATTTTATCTAAAATTTTTGGACTGTGTTCCAGGGCTCGGTCAGTCGTTTCTGAATACGAGTATTTCTTTGTTTTGTTTTATGTTCACAACCTGGATTACGGTCTAGGGTCGTGACACTCAATATAATAAGATCTAACTTGACATTTATGTTATTATGTCAAACTTTACGGATGTCAATATAATATATATTCTTTTTCAAATTTAGAATTAATTGTAAAAAGTTCACTAAAATATACAAATTTTGTTAGAGTGTCCACTTCAAATTAAGACATTTCTTAACGCACCACCAATTATCCTCTCACCATCTCTAATGTTAAAAGTTATTTTTCATGCCAAATCTATATTTTAACAGGTGTTACAGTGTCAAAATGTTACATTTTAGCAATTATACTCCAATGATGCATTTCATGCAAAATATTATTTTTTGAAACAACCACCATTCTTTTTTAACCACCATACTCGTCATTCATATTTGCATTAATAATATTAATATTAAACACATTTCAAGTCAAGTTATAGACATTAGAAGGAAACTAAAATTAAACCTAATTAAAAAGAAGCAAATATCTAAAATATCTTGTCAAAAAAAAAAAAAAAAACAAATTTATTATTAATTTTTTATCACTATTTGTGAATTAATTTTTTTATATAATATATAAATATATTTTTTTTCAGAAATTTATATATAATATATATATATGTGTGTGTGTGTGTGTGTATTATATATATTTGATTATATTATTATTAAAAATATATATTTTTTTAGGGCAAATCATTTCAGCCTCCCCAGTCGCCTCCATCTCTATTCTTGTTCTCAACTCTGAGAACTTGCCCTCCTTCCCCCCCCCCCCCCCCTCTCTCTCTCTCTCTCTCTCTGCAACTTCAAACTACAAAATCTACAAGAATCAGAAGTTCAAAACCCATATATTTCAGTTTATCTATTTGTCTGCAAAAATCCAAAGTTCAAAACCTGTATTACCTATATCAAAACCTATATCGATGTATCATTTCAGATTGTTCAAAAAATCAAAACCCATATCTTTCAGTTCCCATCGCCTGCTGTTCCAGTTCGGGTTCGCCGTTCGCAAGCTTCAGCCACCGTCTCTAAACTCTCAAGCTTGCCCCCCTCTTTCTCTCTGCAACTGCTAACTTGTATGTATGGGTTTTGTTTTAATTTTTTTTCTAAATCAACTAATGGAGGTCTGTAATTCTTAATTTTGTGTATGCGCGCGCGCGCACACACATATATATCAAGGTCTGTAATTCTTGTTTTGTAATCAAAAGTTCAAAACCCATATATTTATGTTAGATTTGGCACGAAATATAGAAATAGCTATTGCTATTTGTTTGCTAGGATTTGACACAAAAAAAATAAAGGTAAATTTTAACAGCCAATATAGCAGCCTATTGGAGAACCCAATTTTAACCTAGTTGCTATATTTTGAATTAGCAACTCATATGACAACCTCATTTGAGATGCTCTTCAGAGTTTGAAAAGGGCAATAGTTGAAACTCTCGTGATCCAATGGCTAAGGTTTTTTCTAGAAGGAATTATAAAATCTAAGTTTATAGTTCGACTCTCATAAAAAGATATACTTAAATTTAAAATATATATAATTTACGAATGATTTTATATATTCAAGGCTTATCTTGCTCCTTAGAGTCACACCGTCTACTAGTACACTAATTAGGTTGCAAGAATTCTCTAAGAAATTCAATATTGGGACAACTTTCAATAAATTTTTTTTTTCAATTAACCCTGTTATCAAAAGTTCAAAAATTCATATATTCCTATTTTTAATATGTCTATATATATAATATTAAAAAAAAAATAAGAATTATTGGTCTGGCACGAATTGTGGGTCCAGACTCCAGAATCGAGTTTATACTGCTATGGCTATATTATTTTATAGTGGACCTACTCTCACTGAATCACAACAAACGTCCGAAGAACAAAAAGCCCATTCGCCAACACGACACACAGATTCGTGCAATAAAAATGAGAAAGTCTCAGCTCACCTGAGTTCGCCGGAGCAATATCCTACTTTTCTCCGGTCGGCATACCGCCGTCGCACGATCCAAATCTCCCAACCACTGTAAGAACTTCTTATATTATATATATGATTTTCTTCTTAAACCATGTTTGGTTGCCGAGAAAACTGAGGAAATATATTAAATATTTTCTTCCTAGTGGCGGAAAAAATTGTTTTGTTAATGTTAGGGTTTTCGGAACCCAAAGAAATGGGAAAACCTTGGGCAATTTATGTTTTCTTTTTCCTGGTTTCTCACTCGAAAATGAGCATTGCCTTCTTTGTTTCCCTTAATTCTAGGTTAAATTCTAGTGTCTTTAGTCTCTTGAGGCTTGTTTGGTTCCTTCGAAACTAAAGGAAGAAAAGATTCATAAAATTTTAATTTTCGTCTGGGACCCAAAGACAAGTGTGCTCAATTGAGGCTTTTTTTCTAAAAAAAAAAAAATTTACCCTCAAAGGTTCCATTTCTTTTTCTTTTCCTCCATTTATCAGCAACCAAAGGAGGAAATTGTTCCAGGTTTTGGTCTCTTTGAATTTGGATTTGTAGATTATTGTTGTGAATTTGTTACCTAAGATTATCCTATGCATTTGTAATTCCATTGGTATGAATAAGGTGGAACTCATAGTTACATATCAAACATGGGATGGGTGGGCCTGTAGAGATACTAATTTAAGGCCATTGTGTGAATTAGAGAAATGATTTTGTATTTCTAGAATGTTTGATTGTTATCAGATTGGTTTCATGTGTGCTTTAGTACCAAAGTAAATATTTATGATTTAAGAAAGTTTTCTAACAGGGTAAAGTTAATTATTTTTAGAAAAGTAGGATATCATTAGTGGTTAAACTGGATGAACAGACACTTCCTTTGGAAACAATCCTTTTGGGAATAGGTTTTGAAAAAGAAAAATAGAAAGGAATGAATTCATAATGGAATTCCATTTTTGTATTTAGAACAAAATTGAAATATAGATAAAAGGAAAATCAATTCGGATTTATTGTGGTGGATAAACAATGGAACCTATTTTACTGAAATTATCATCTTTGTTGATGTTTTACTATAATGAAACATTTTGCCCAATAAGTATTATTCATTTGCACTTGGCTTGCTTAGGAAATGAAGTTGCACTTTCCTTCTGATTTGTTGCAACAATGCAACAACAATAAAGGTACGTAAAGAATATAGATTTGTGATAATCATGTTTAATTTTTTATTTTGTTTCAAAAAAGTGGTAAAAGAAATTGCCACAGTAAGCCCAAATGTTTTAGTAATTTAATTTTTGTTTTTGTTTTTTTTGGTCCAAACTCCACTTAGCATGCCTTAGCCACAACTGCTTCTGTTTGGTAATGGATCCAAATTATCCAGTTGTCTCTTTGTATAGCCATATCCTCTGTTAAAGCCAGCCCTTGCTCACAGCCTTAACTGCAATGTTTGTCCCAACTAGTGAACAATGCATACTTTTTAGGTGCCTTTTATCATCAATGTAATTGGGCATTCTCCGTCTCTCTCTTCCCCTTAATGCATGTAAGCTACTCCCCCATTTGGAATGAAACTCAGGAATTTGTTATTAATTGGGGTTGGAGTGCTGGCTTTCGTCCAAGTTTGCTCTTCTTTTCCCATAATTTATTTCTTACAGGTAGAGCAAAAATAAATGAAACGAGAAGCAAGGAAAAATAGACTGAAAATTTGAAGAGTGAGTCTGACCTGAGCAAAAGGAAATCAAGTCTTTTTGTTGCCAGTGCTAGACAGTACAGGTTCCTTTATACCGTCCCCGGTGTCCCATTAGACAATGGAATTACTATTTGAACTTTTCACATGATGGCAGTTAAGTACTGTCTTTTTAAAATCACTTTTCAATAATGTCGGTCAAATTTTTAGCTATAATTTGGCATTCCAAATTGTTTTGAAGACAGAGCTGACATTGGAGGCTTTTTCTGTTCATCTCTAAGCATGTATTCATCAATAGGGCTCATCCCATCGAATAGAACATTTAGGTTTAGAATGTAAGCATGAGGGTCAATAATGCGATCTCGATAACAACTTTTTATATGGCAACATGTTTGATTGACAAGGTGGCATGGTACCTTAAAAAATCATGGATAGCGTGAAACAAGTTGCGTTTCTTGTATTTACCAGAAAAAAAAAGGTTGTATTTCCTGTATGTTCATCTACCTCATCATATGTTCATCCTGTAGTGGTGGTTGTCTTTTATTACTATTTTCTATTCTGAGGGGGCTGGTTTCTGTTTCAGATGGAAGAAGTTTCTCTCAACAATGAGCAAGTCCTTGTGGGTCAAGGCAGTGAGACACCACATGAAGGAGACGCTGAGAGGACAGAGTTAGATGGTCAAAATGGTATTCCTCAAGGAAGGAAGGAATTTGTTGCACCAGCCGTGGGAATGGAATTTGAATCATATGATGATGCTTACAACTATTATAATTGTTATGCTAGGGAAGTGGGATTCCGTGTGAGAGTGAAAAATTCGTGGTTCAAACGAAATAGTAGAGAGAAGTATGGGGCAGTACTTTGTTGCAGCAGCCAGGGTTTCAAAAGAATTAAAGATGTAAACCATCTACGGAAAGAAACAAGAACTGGCTGCCCTGCAATGATAAGGATGAGGCTAGTGGACTCTAGAAGGTGGAGAGTACTTGAAGTTACACTTGAACACAACCATTTGTTAGGTACAAAAATCTATAAGTCAATTAAGAAGATGAACACTGGAACCAAGAGGAAGCTGCAGTCAAACTCTGACGCAGAAGTACGGACAATCAAGTTGTACCGGGCACTTGTAATTGATGCAGGAGGTAATGGGAACTCAAATTCTAATGCAACAGAAGTCAGGAATTATTCTGATCATCCAAATCAGTTGATCTTGAGAAAAGGTGATACTCAAGCCATTTATAACTACCTCTGTCGTATGCAATTGACAAATCCAAATTTCTTTTACTTGATGGATCTTAATGATGAAGGGCGTGTGAGGAATGCGTTCTGGGTTGATGCCAGGTCCAGGGCTGCAGGTGGTTACTTTAGTGATGTAATATTTTTTGACAATACTTATTTGTCAACTAAACATGAGATCCCACTCGTGACGATTGTTGGGATAAATCACCATGGTCAATCTGTTTTACTGGGTTGTGGCCTGCTTGCAGGCGGGACAACAGAGTCCTATTTGTGGATGTTCAAAGCATGGGTCAGTTGCATGCCAGGATGCTCTCCACAAACCATTATTACAGACAGATGCAAGTTTTTGCAGAGTGCAGTTGCTGAGGTTTTTCCAAGATCTCAACATCGTTTTGGTTTGTCACACATCATGAAAAAGGTCCCAGAGAAATTGGGAGGACTGCACAATTATGATGCCATTAGAAAGGCATTGATTAAAGCAGTTTATGAGACTTTAAAACCGTTCGACTTTGAAGCAGCATGGGGATTTATGATCCAGCGCTTTGGAGTTGGTGAGCATGAGTGGCTCCGGTCTTTGTATGAAGATCGAGCTCGATGGGTTCCAGCGTATTTAAAAGACACATATTTTGCTGGAATGGCTGCTGCACGGCCCGGTGAGATCCTGAATGCATTTTTTGACAGGTATGTGCACAAACAAACTCCTTTGAAAGAATTTCTCGACAAGTATGAATTAGCTTTACAAAAAAAGCACAAGGAAGAAGCACTTGCAGATATGGAGTCTAGAAACTCAAGTCCCACCTTGAAAACAAGATGTTCCTTTGAGTTTCAACTGTCCAAAGTGTATACAAGAGAAATATTCAAGAAGTTCCAAATCGAGGTGGAGGAGATGTACTCTTGTTTCAGTACAACACAATTACACATTGATGGACCAATTATAATATTCTTGGTGAAGGAGCGTGTTTTGGGAGAGGGAAATAGGAGGGAGATCAGGGATTATGAAGTTCTGTACAATAGAGCGGCAGCAGAGGTTCGTTGCATTTGCAGCTGCTTTAACTTCAATGGTTATCTATGCCGGCATGCATTATGCGTGCTCAACTTCAATGGGGTGGAAGAGATCCCTTCTAAGTACATTCTTTCACGGTGGAAAAAGGATTACAAGCGTTTATATATTCCCGATCTCGGTTCCAATAATGTCGATGTTACTGACCGGGTTCAATGGTTTAATCAGTTATATAGAAGTGCTTTGCAAGTTGTAGAGGAAGGGGTAATTTCCCTTGACCATTACAAGGTTGCTCTACAAGCATTCGAAGAGTCGCTGAATAGGGTTCATGATGTAGAAGAAAAGCAGGAATAACATAAAATGATTGTGAGTTTCTCTGTAACTAAACTGTTACCATTCCTTTCTATCCTCTCCTGTTGTTGAGGGAATGACTCCAGCTGTTCTTGTGCATAATGTATTATTCTTCACGAAGCGAATTGCGACTGCTTTATCAATATGAAAAAAATAAAAAAAAATAGGATCAGTTTTCATCCATTATATTAGTGTTCACAGTGTTCTGTTTTATATATATATATATATATATATATATTGATTGAAACAATCTTCTGCATATTCAAGGTAAATCTATGTGTTTGCGGCATTAGTTCAACCAGTTACGGGGTCAATTAACTTGGAGTAGAATGGATTGATGTTTGATGATCTAGTTTTCTTGGTCTAAATGAATGAAGAGTGCCGATTCAATATTACATTTAGGGCTGAATTTCACAATGGAGTAAATACATTTAGGGCTGAATTTCACAATGGAGTAAACCCGTCAGATTGGGCAATCAGGTTGAATAACTTGATAGCAGCATTAATACTTTCTAATTCTTAAAAATTTGAACACTTAACAAAATTCCACATCGATAAAATATATTTTTACATACATTTTAATAATAGATTTGCTTGCTTCTCATGATCGCCGAGCTCAGTAGCATGGGCTTGTCAAGCAGGGCATTAAAGTGGTCGATTGTGGAATCGAACTCCAGTTCAGGTGGGTGAATCATTGTCTTACTCCAGTAACACAAGTTGGTGCGCACCTGATCCTCATAGGCTAGAGGGGACCTGAATGAATGATGCCCAAACTTCAATGAGAGGGCTAGAACTCATACCCTCCCGGTTAGAGGGGGTTATAACTGGAGGGGCCCCACAATCATAGTAGGAGGATAAACATAGCCCATACCATTGGTTGCATATAGATGGGCACCCACCTGGCGTGCCAACTGGATGACTTGGTCCCACACACAACCACTTTTTATATATAATAATAATCTAAAACATATATATATTGTTTAGGTTTTTCTTAATAAATTTGCTTAATTTTTTTTAATTTGATAAATAAATTACATAAAATGGAAGCTTGTTTAAAATTTGATCAATCAAAAATAACATCTTTATAATTTTCCTACTTGTTTTTTTCTTAATAATTTTACTAACTTTTTTCTTTCTTAATAAATGTACCAACTTGTTTTTTTTTTTTTCTTAATAAATGTACCAACCAAGGTATAGTGTGTATATATAATAAAAATAAATAAAATTGGAGGCTTGTTTAAAGTGCAAGCTTGAATTTTTTTTTTTTTTTTTTTTTTTTTTTTTTTTTTTTTAAGGGGAAGCTTGCTTAAATTCTGATCGATAAAAAATAAGATTTATGTAATAGATTTTTTTAATTTTTTTTAATAATTGTACCTACCAAATGTATAGTGTGTATATATATAATTTTTTAAAAAATGGAAGCTTATTTAAAATGGAAGCTTGATTTTATTTAAATATATTTTTTAAAATGGAAGCTTGTTTAAATTATGATCAATCAAAAATAAAATCTATGCAATTGAATTATTTTTTTGGTAATATATGTACCTGACAAATTATTTTTTGACAAATTTTATCACCTTCTATTCTTCCGAACTTGTAATATTTCTGAATTTCGTCATTTTTCATTTTATGGAATTTTCTGTTTTTGTAAGGGCATTTTCGTCTTTTCTCGTTTTGCTTGCCGGACACCGTGGGGTGTGTCAGTTATGTCCGAGAGTTGGTCGGGCATTTCTTTGAGTTCAGGACTCCTAGAAATGCAATGGTTGCTATTTCGGCATTTTTCAGTTTTCCGGACAGGAAAGTTCCGAACGGAACCCGCTAACAGAATCATTGCGTTTGGGAATTTTGTGTGGTTCCAGTTGCACGTCATTCATTTTATTTTATGTGTTTTATGTGGTATTTATATGGTTAGTGTAGTATATAAATATATATATATATATACATTGTGGTGGGAAATAAAAGTTAAAAAGAAAAAGAAAAGAAAATCTTTTAGTGGTGAAACCTACCACCATCACATTTGTGGCCAAGAGGTCAACTTTGGCATCACATTTCTCTCTCTCATTCTCTCTCCCTGGCACTAGCTCTCTTTCCTTCTTTTCTTTGCATTTTTCTTTTCTTTTTGCTTCAAACTTCAATCTTTAATCAATCTTCAACCTTTTGGAGATTTTTGGTGCCGTTTGCGGCAAAACGGAGAGCTTGTCGAGATCTACACATTGATGTAAACAATTTCTTGTTTGGCCAACCTTGCAATTTTGAATTCTAGGACCCATTTTGGAGGTTTTTGTATCTTAAGAGGTAGGGGTTTCTAATTTACATTTTCTTGGGTCTTTTGTGAATTATTCTTCTTAAATTGTGATTAGTATACTTGATTTGTAGAAATTTCATGTTTTATTATATATATGTTGTGCCAAAATTGTGACTATGTGTTGCTTGGTATATATGATGATGAAGCATGTTTAATTGTGATTAATTCAAGCCCTTTGTGCCTTTAGTGTTGAATCTTGTGATTTGAAAGCATGGGTTATATTTTTTAGAATTTTTCTTTTGATGTAAAGCATGTATATTGTTGAATGTTAGCTTGATAAGTATGGATTCCTCTATTTGCACGGCATTAAAATATATATGAGACATTCATGCATAGCATTGGGCATGAAAAAGGAAAAAATTGTTTTGAGATGAAAAAGGGGAATTCTTGAGATAAAGTTTTGATTAAAAGGTTTTGTGAAAAACCCGGATGCTAAGGGAGTACCGAGGGTCCTTGGCGTTAATGTAGCCTAGAGGGAACTAGGGAGATCGCCCTAGCGTGGTTGAGCTATTTGGGTCCCAAATGACGCCGCGGGGCTACCAAGGGTCAGGGACATTAGCCAATCCTTCTCTCGTGTTGCCAAGGGGTCACTGAAGGACGTGTTATGTTAACGGTTTAAAAAGTGAGGAAATGGAAGAGATTTTAAAAATGGGGAGCAACATAGCATGGCATTGCACTCCATTGTATCACATTATTTATTTTGGTCTTGAAATGGTTGTCTTTTCTCCCTGCATAGCATTATCCCTTCTCTTTATTCCCTTTCATTGTTTGGATTCATGGGGTCTTAAGAGGTGTATCTTAGGCACCTCCTACTGAGCAATTTTGCTCACCCCTTATTATTAACATTTTTCAGGGCACGACAAAAAAGTGGCGGACGACAATCCACCACCAGTTTAGTCGGGTTGACAAATTTGGACTCTTTTGTGCTCGATGTGTATTTTATCCCTCTTTGTTGTAAATAATATTAGCGATCATTTTGTATCTTCCACATGGTTGGAAATGGTCTTGAGACCATTCATTTGTATTTTGTGGTCTCATTATAATTTCAATATCCATGTAAGGCCTTAAGGCCACATTTTTTTATGTATGACGGACTTGTATAATTTTAATGGTGTATCGAACTTACGTATGGCCTTATTTGATTTCATTACTACCTAATTGTGTTAGTTTCATCATTAAATGAAAGATTTGGGACAAGTTTGGGCTTTGAGTAAGGTCACCAATTGACCAAAAGAGTGCCTAAGTGCATAAGTTCATGATTTTTAGGTTTTACATGGTTTTTTTTTTAGGTTCTGGACTTGGGGAACCGGTACCTCATCCGAGAACCGGTTCAAGGGGTACTTAGGTTCACGTTCTGGGCATTCTGCCCATGTGGAACCGGTACCAAGATTGGGAACCGGTCCAGTCCTCCAGTGGGCTTTTTGCCCTTTACAGTTTTATAAACTTCGATCACTTAATTTCGGATGGTCATAACTTTTTCGTTTTGAACCCAAATAGGGTCATTCTTAAGTCCATTTTTAAATATTTTGAGTTAGCTTTCCAATGAGACCAACCTCATCCTTAAATTCCATTCATGTTGTGAGTTATGGCTATTTTAGTGAAACAGTATCAGGATTTCCCTTGAACCGAGTAAGGGCGCTTTTGGGAAATCACATCCAATGATCGTAGAACCTCTCCAAATGTCATGGAATGACTAGAATGATTGTTTTAAACCTCAATTGATTAGTTTACAGATGGATTACCCTTTCATAGTGTAAAATGACCATTTTACCCCTAGTATGTCCTCGGGTTTGGTTAAGGACCCGGTTAGCGATCCGGACCCCCGGTTTGGGTCGTTACAGAACCGTTTTTTTCTTACTTCTTCAAAACTTAAAGATGACAAGTAGACCTTTGTGGCATCTTTTTTGTTTCGTCAAGTTTTCTGGTGGACGATGCCTTATAGTTAAGGTTGTAAATCAACCGAGCTGAGCCAGGCTTAAGTCTATTTAGGAGCACTTGGGGTCGTGGTAAGTTCAAAAAGATGAGCTCAAGCTCGGCTCTTTATTATTTTTAAATGCTCAGACTTGGCTAAGTTTCGTTGAATAACAAAAGTCATTCGGGCTCGATTTTAATTTGTATTCAAGATTGTTTTGGTTTGTTCATGAACTTATACGAACTTACACAAGCTTATGTTTGTGAGATTAAACTTATGTTTGTGAATGTGTTCACGAGCCTATATGAGTTTATATTTACAAACATATACGAGCTTACATGAGCTTATATGTTTACGAGCTTAGCCTAATATTGTTTAGTATCTAACTTATTTACTAAAGAAACCTAGAAATCGAGCGTGAACTCGATTCGTTTGCTTAACCAATGCACAAAAATTGAGTTATTCATGAACAACTCATTTATTTGCAACCTTAAGAGAGAGTTTGATCACGAAAATAGAGAGAGATCTTGAATGTGAGTGTGTAAAATTTCAAGAGTTAGTGATCCTTTTTATGTAGAGTTGTGGGTCTTCCATAGAGTAGTGAAACTCACACTGAACACTTGCAGTGAATTGTCTACCCCAATAATTTTTAATTGGATATCTATACCAAGTACAGCTAAGTGAAGGGCTCCACTTCATTATTTGTTACATAATTGACCAATTAAAAGAATATGTTTAGTAATTCACTACAGTTATTCGGTGTAAGAATCATTTTCCTATTAAAAATGTAGACCAAATTTGACAATATAATGGTGCCATGGCCAAATTAAAGGCCAATAGAAAAGTCATTAAACTTGCAATGAAAGATTCATTCGTGGGTTAAATAAAATGTCATTAATCTTGCAATGGAATATCTAAATTAGAAAGCCACGAAGATTCACAATTAAAATTTGTCATAAAATAATTTAT